TTTGTGCTATGCCTTTGTGTATTACTTTGTTCATTCTCCCCCTCCCACCTTCCTTCGCTTTGCTTCTGTTTAGTTTTATTAGGGGGGCAATTTAGGTGAACAGCCTTGAACTTTCTGTGGGTTACACTCACGTTGCAAAGGAAAAAACAACGATACGTAAAGAACGCTCGAAGGAAGCTTTGCTACAGAATTGCTTGTGCCTTTCTGGTAGCCATCGTGTCGGTGTGTGTGCTAGGTTAAATTTCTTAAACATCTACAAGCTCGTTACTGAAATGTGTTAAGTAGTACGGAATGGAGCACTTGAAAATCAGAAAAATGCACTAGAGGCACATCACACTGCGAGTTATGGAACGAAACATTGAAAGCCAATCGATAAAAACGGAAAGAACTAAGACACCATTTGCGGCAAAACTCTCTTGTAGGGCCCCTTAAATATCTATTCCCCCCGCCCAACTGTCTGACGTATTTTGTGGTCAAACTTTTAATTCTTGGTTAGTGAGTGTCAATGAATATTTAATTGCGGTGGAAGTGATCGAAAAATATTAAATAAAAGAAACTTATATCTGTTCCAATGTACTAAATTTAATCAAATCCATCAAAATAAGCCCTTGTTGCTCGGTATACTGGTACCAATTGAGGGAAATTCAACCTTATATTCGCGGAATTTGAAGAAAAAGTGAAATTTGGGTTACTGAAGATGTAAAAGTAGGTTACTGTTATGAGTCAAAGGCAAAAAGGACCTCTAAAGACAGTCCTGCCCCATTTGCGGTTAAATCAGCATCCCTCTCACGCAAGCGAAGTCAACGCGATTCGTCAACAGTAATGTAAAACCTCCGTCCACGTAGTGCGCTTCCCCCTCGGCTAGCCTCTAGCAGGGTAAATCGAGTAATTTCAAGCGTTTGTCTACACACACTGGCACAATCCGCGTCTCCGGACTGTCCAAATCTGCCCGCTTGGCCTCAACTACACAGCCATCGCATTTCCCTGAAACCATTGTTTAGTTTCTATTGCCTTTTAGTCCTCTTGGATGTGTGCTTTTGCTGGTTTTGCTGTAAAATAGGAGGCATACCCAAAAAATGAGAATTATTTTTGTAGGCAAGTGGGCTGACAGTTCTGCTCTCTCCTTATGTGTATG